GTGTCTTTGTCCCCCTCCTGGACACCCCCTGCCCTCCGTGTTGTCTGATCCAAGCCCTTCCCCACTGCTCGTGTAGGAAGCTGCCGATTTCAGTCAGTGTCGCTGCTCCATGCACTGCAGGGACCTAGAGGCAGGGCCAGGCCCCACCCAGCTCCCTGCGACATACGCTGCAGGCTTTGTCCCTTCCCTGCTGGGCCCCGAGCCCTTCACCATCCAGCTTGGGGCCTGCTCAGAAAACAAAACTGTTCCCAGGGGGCGAAAGCTCCGCAGTGAACGTGGGATCCCGCCCAGCCCGGCCGTGCGAGAGACTGCCCCCCCCCGCATCCGCTCGTGAGCCACGCCAGAGGGGGCACGGTTCTGTCACAGCCGCTGGCGCAGTGGGGTTCCAGCCGCGACGGCGTTTATAACCCAGAGAACCTGCGTAAGCCGGCAGGTGCCACCTCCACACCCTGTGGCCCCCAGTGCCAGCTACTGGCTGGGCCTGCCAGCAGGCGGGTGATGTGGCTCTCACCGCCCACACGTGCCAGCTGCCCAGTGCTCCTGGCCGGGGCAGCAAACGGCTTGGAGAAGCAAAACGGACCAATAAATACAGCTGGAGTTGGAGGGGAAGCCCTGTTCCTTGGGCCGTTGCAGCCGCTGACAATTTGTCACTTAACGGCTCCCAACCTTCGCTTTCTGCATCACTGCAGCTCTGGGCACAAAGTCATTATTGGCTCCCCCACCCCGAATTTCCTGCTGCTGGGATAATGTAAAACAATAAAAGGGGAAGGGGGGTGACACGTGTACCGCAGCACAATGGTGAACACGCACGTGGATAAAAGCACGAAACGCAAAGTGCACTATTATCCAGCCAAACGCCGTCCACCTGATCGTGTTGTGCCAGGCCTGAATGCAGCCCGGATTCGGTACCGGCTGTGGGGGTGTTTCCGTGTTTGGCTCGTGGGATTGCGTGTTCTAGAGCAGTGTTTCTCAAGCAGGGGTCCGAGTACCCTCACGGGTACTGGAGAGACGTCTGGGGGGTAGGTCAACACTACTGACATTTGGAGACAACTGAATTTTTGTTTGAAGTTTTACAGCGCTTCATTATTTTTGTACTTTTACACCCCAAACTGTCATCGCTGGCCTGACTACAATTAAGTTGTTTAAACAAATGTGTTGCAATGGTAGGGGGAAAATCTGGTGTGTCTGAAAACTGTAGGTAGTGGGGGGACTTTCTTTTTAAAGGGGTACTTTACAAAAAAAAGTTTGAGAAACACTGTTCCATAGGATTCCGTGTGTGAGACAAGGAACCAGAAAGTGTGTGTGTGTGTGTATCCCACCAAGAGCATGAGTGGCGGAGTGGGGTCTGAGGTGGCTCCAGGCTGCGGCGGTAGAGCCAGGGGCTGGAGCAGGCTGGACAATGTGAAGAGGGGCAGGGGATAGTCACTCTCTGGAGCCCAGGCAGAAGGAGGAACCTTGGGGCCTGGTCTAGAGAGTGAAAGCCGGCAAGCAGCCGGGGAAGGTAGATCAGGCGTTGTGGGGAGCAGCGGGGGCTCGCCTATGGAGGAGCAGCTGAAGGGACTTAGAAGTGAGCCCAGGAAGGGCAGCCAGGAACGGCCTGGTGGGAGGGCCTGGTTCCCTGACCGGTCGCTGGCCAGGCAGCACCCGGCCAGAGACGGGGGCTGAGGATGCCCAGAAGCCCAGGGTAAACACGTCAGCACCGCATGGCTGCGGCAGGGGGAAACTGGCGAGAGCAGGACAATTTTCCTCATCACAGGCTGCGTAGCCCCTCCAGCATGACTACAACCAGCATGCCCTGTCAGCTGGGTGCTTGGTTGGCTGCCCAGGAGAGAGTCCAGTGCCGCCCCATTGATTAGCAGAGCATCCACAGCTGGCAGCATATTTCTGGTGGTGCACATTGCGCTGAACAAAATTTATTCTGCACATGGGTCGGCAGCATATTTCTGGTGGTGCACATCTGCGCACACCTTGGTGCGCTGAACAAAATTTATTCTGCACACGGGTGGAAAAACTGAGAGGGAACATTGAATAGGACCGCCCCAAAGGCCCCTCAGGCTGTATACTCACTAATGTCAGCTGTTTGGCTGCGTGTGTGGGTCTCCCTGTGTCCCAGCTCTGCACAGACCTCACGCGAGGCGCCCAGTGGACCCACACCCTCGGTCGGTAGCGAAGGAACGTGGCCAGCGACGGACGGTGCTAGTGCTTGGGCTGCGCAGGCACCGGCACGCTGACCCAGGTGCACTGTGGCAATGGACTAGCTCAGTTACGTGCAGGACTTTCCGCGATCTCTCAGGCCTGCCAGAGACAACTCCCTTAGTTACCGCCTCGGTCACAGATACAAACGAGTTCTGCAGCGTGCCTGCCAAATGTCGGCACCTCCTCTGCCGGCTCTGGGTGGTGCCCACCGCCTCGTGCAGGCTGGTGCCCTGTGAGCTGCTTTTGGACGGGCAGTTCCTGGTGTCGCCGGGGCCTGTGGTTGGTATCGAGGTGTTCTGCTCCCGCCGTCCTGGAATGTGCTTGTGCTTCACACGGCCCAGGGACGAGCGTCACCGGTTCCTGCCAGATTCGCCCACAGGTCAGCTTGGCTTCAGAAAAGCAGCGTTTTGCCTGTCAGCCCAGGCCCTCCCATTGACACGGGGCTTGTGCGTCAGGTGACGTTCCCCGGCTGTTTGTCCCTTTCCGGGCAGGGCGTTGCCCCTTGTCCGGGAGAAGCAGAGGGCATCGAAGATGGACTGGGGGGCTCGACTCGGCTTTGCGGTTGTCTCACTTTATCATGCCTCGTCTCTCCTCTGCTCTGCCCTTCCCCTCCTCCGATCGATGGCCGGGTTTTGTTTTCCAGTTGATGGTAGCCCTCTGGGTGGGCCTGGGAAGGTTAGGCCCAGCCCCCCTGCATTCTAGGCTCGGGGGGCTGGCGTTGCACTGCCTGACCTCCCGACAGTTCAGGGGGACACTAAGGGCACCAGTGGCCACAAAGGGGGAAAGCTGGCCTCCAGTGGGCTTGGAAGGGGCGGGGCCTCAGGTGGAAGGGGCGGAGCTTGGGGGCCAGCCTCCACTAGCCAGTTGTTTACCCAGGAAGGAAAGGCCATGTTACAGATATTAGTGGTTAGGATTAGAAGCCGAGTCGGCATTTCTGTTGCTTGGCAACCACATCTTCAAAAAAGTTTGGAGTAATTCCAACTGTTGCACACTGACGGGTTGAACTAATTAGTGTATTGGGTTTATTCAAGTACAGGTTTTCCCTTCTTCTGTTTTCCACGGGTTTATCATGTGGGGCTTTCGGCAAAACGGTAACTTTTAGAACTGGGAGAGAGAACAGAAGGGAGGGGGACAGTGGGGGTAGAACAGCCTAGGAAGACAGGGACCCAGCCAAGAGAGATTCACTCTATCAAGGGAGCTTAACCTCCAGGCGGCAGCAGCAAGTTTAGCAACCTGAGAGCAGAAAGGAAAACTCCACAGGCAGGTACCACCGTTCTGCTTTCAGCGGAGAGCAGAGTGTGGTTCTGCGGGCAGAAGCCGTTTGGAACTCGCCCCCCTGGAGCAGTTGCACCCGCAGCTGGGTCGTTTCCCAACTCTCCACTCTGCTGAGCCCTGCCTGGACTCGCTCTGGGCTGGGCTTCACTGGGCACTTTTCCATGGGCCTGTTCCTTAGCCCGGGGGAAATAGTGAAGGGCAGGTGGGGGCCCTGCCCTAAGGGGACGCTTGAACCACAGCTATGGGGCGGGGGGAGGAGTGGAGAGGGTTGACAAGCCCATGAGCTCACCAGGGTGGGGTGTGTCTGGGTTGCGCCCAGTGCCCCTGTTCTGACTGAAACTCAGGATGCAACAATAAGGAAGTGATCAACGATTATTAGGGATTGTAACCCTGGTAATCCTCCCATATGCACTTGAAATGGCAGTGGCCTGGGGACCCCATTCACCTTTTTTCCAGGCAGTGAGGTATTGGTGTCAGAAGTGGGATCCCCTAGAACTTGCCCCCAGCAGCTCAGGTGTCCCTGCTGAGGTGGTGATGGTAGAGGCAGGCCTGCTTTGCTCCTCCCCTTCTGCTCCACACAGAATCCCCTGCTGGGGTCGGGTGAGCTTGGGGTTAACGCCCCAGAAAGAGGCACAGAACAACTCCACTCTCAAGGAGATGGTTCAGGCTCTCTGCTGGTTCAGGCAGCAGCACCTCATACATATCTAAACATGGTCACATGTCTGGGTTTCTCTCACCAGTGGCGAGGGGTAGGAAAGGACACTTTTGCGCAAAAACATGCTGCCTGTCTACACTGGCAGGGAGTTCTTGCGCAAGAACACTGATGTTATAATGTGTGAAATCAGGACTTCTTGTGCAAGAACTATGGTGCTCCCGCTCAGGAATAAGCCCTCTTGTGCAACTGTTCTTGCGCAAGAGGCCAGTGCAGACAGGCAACATGAATTTCTTGCACAAGAAAGTCCGATGGCTAAAATGGCTATGAGAGCTTTCTTGTGCAAGACAGTGTCTACACTGGCACGGATGCTTTTGTGCAAAAGCACATGCTAGTGTAGACACTCTCTTGCACAAACACTTTAACGCAAAAACTCTTGCGTTAAAAGTATTTGCGCAAAATCTTGCTAATGCAGACGTAGCCCATAAGTGTCAGCTCAGAGCTCCTTATGTGTGGCTACTCCCAGGATCCTCCTTCAGCTTTGCTCAGCCCGCATGCTCGCTGCGTCTACACTGCAAGCTTCTTGCGCATGAAGCTTTTTGCGAGGAGCTCTTCCGCAAAAACACCTTGCGCAAGAGCGTGTCCACACTGCAAAAGCGCATTGAAAAAGCGATGCGCTTTTGTGCAAGAGAGGATCCAGACTACATGGATGTTCTCTTGCAAGAAAGCTCTGATTGCCATTAACAGAATGGCCACCAGGGTGTTTTGCGCAATAACCCTGTTTCCCATCCACACACACCTTTTTGCACAAGAGCTCTTGCCCCAAAACGAGTTATTCCTCGAAGAAAGAGGAATACCCACACCGCAAACACCCCTCTGTTCTGTCAATTCACTATACATTTTCTTGAGCAAAAATGCACTTGAGGTGTGGTTGCTCCGTGAGTTTTTGAGCAAAAACTCTGCCATGTAGATAGAGCCCCAATATCCTCTCTCCTCAGAGACGCACAGCAACCTCCCTTAAAGCCAGAGAAGGGTCCTATCTAGTGACTTAGGAAAACCTTCACATTCCTTCTCCAGTGGAATCAATATTTGCTAACAGATGTGATGTTCAGAGAACCCATGTTAGCCTGTGTTAGCATGGTAGACTCAATGCTTCTCTATCCATCCTCTGTGTTTCCACTGGTCTTTGGTCTGCTGTCATGTGAATAAATTCTGGTTAGATTAGGCTCAAGAATCTGCGTGACTTTCTGAACCAGATGGCTCACTAGTGAATAGGCTCGCTTGAAGAGCCGTGCACCAACACAAGGGCAGAGGAGAAAAATGATCCAGTGAAATCATCTGTCTTTGTGCATGTCGTCAGGAGTGGGGGGCACTGGATGTTTATAACAATTTTCAGTTAGAAACAGAGGAAATCAGGTAGCTTAGTGGAATACCCCGGAGGCCTACTGCATGCCAGAACAGGAACAAAAGAGAGGCATTTTGTACATGCTTTCAGTCCATGGGGGAGACACCAGTGAGGCAACCAGACAGCGGGGTGGAAAGCGTACAATTGAAGCGCACAAAATCGTCAAATGCAGGTCCAGGAAAATGCGACGGGCCTAGAGCGAAGCTCACGGAGAATCGACGTGGCTGTCGCCGAGGGGTCCCCATGAGAATAGAAACAACCACGTGATGGACCCACAAAGAGCCAGGATGATCAGCTGGTGGAAGGCCTGGACGTGGCGAAGGGTGGCCGGGATAAGAGAAGAATGGGAGTCACGTTGCGCTATCTGGGGGCTGATTGATCAAGGTGATGAAGGCTGCATTAGATCTGAGCACAGAAGAATCTGCCATAGTCCTCTGTTGGCTCCAGTCTCCATCGGCCAGAGGCAGGTCCACAGCTCAGTGGTCTTCATTCTCTTCCTCTTCTTTGGCCAAGGCCTCGACCAGGACTCTCTGGGCATCTTCAGCAACCCCATTCAGAAAGCTGTTCAGCATCCTGTAAATCACGGTGAAAGACCGCTCTGCCGCAAAGACAGTCCCCGCCAGTGGGATCATGCTGACGAAATGCTTTGCTATCAGCAGCCCTTCCCCTGTGGCCTGTCTCAGCAGCGTCTCGGCTGTTTCCTTGGAGATGTCTTTGGCCAACGGAGACCTGACCACGGACTTCAGGTCTTCCACCCTCTTCCGAACCTGGAGGGCGAGGGCATTGAGGGAAATGTCGTCCAGGCCAAAGCTCTCACAGTACTGCCGCATGCTGTCCACCAACGTGTCCACGTCGCACCTCACCGAGAGCATCGGCAGCGGCACAGTCGCGATGGCGCAGGACTTCAGCGCCTGCTTCCAGATCTGCCCCTGCAGAAGCTTTTTCTTCTTTTCCAAGATGGGCTGGGACAGGTTGGGCAGGGCCATGAGGAACAGGTGTTTCTTGTGACTGTCCAGTTCCTTCAGCAACTTCTTCTGCAGCTTGGGGAACTCGTATTTCTGGAACTCCCGGCTCGACACGAGGAAAACCCGGGGGGAACTGATCCCCTCTTTGGAGAGACGCTCGATGCAGTCTTTTCTGATCTTCTCCAGGATCTTCTCCTCACAGAAGCCCTTTTTGCGATTCTCGTTGTACAGGTCCACATCCACCTTGGAGCGCACAAAGTAAAACTTCTTCCCCATCTTGCGGATCTGCCGGGCCAGGAGGG